AGGCACGGATTTTATTAGGAAACTGGGTATCCTAGCTCTAGGAGAAAGGCTCTCCCTGGCCTTTGTTTTGTCAGGGCCCTTAGCTATAAATGATGCCTGTGTACGACTAATCTGTCCAGCTTACTCTACCAACTCACACCTTGTTCTCCTCTGGAAACATTGTCACAGACGTGCCAAGAAATAGGGCTTTACCAATCATCTAGGTACTTTCCACCCAATCAAGCTGAAGTCTAAGATTAACCATCCTACCACTCCTGGTACAAACAAAATAATCCATGAGCAATGATCAAATTTGTTATTAAATACTCATGTCCTCCAGGATCATGCCTAGCACTTGGTGTGCTTTATATTTTAATTCTTACAATAATCCACAGGTAAGCATTATTTCCATTAAATGTCTTACTTAAGGTCACACAACCATGAGGGGTTTTTTTTGTTTGTTTTTTGTTTTTCCAGAACGGAGGATTGAACTCAGGCCCTTGTGCTTGCCAGGGAAGGGCTTATTCTACTGAGCCATCTCCCCAGCCCCCCAACCGTCAGTTTTAAAGCTAGGATTTCTATCTAAAATGGGCCCCACATTTCTTCTCTGATAACTCCTTTCTGTGTCTATTTGGGGGCCATCATTCTCATATTCTGGCATACTTTCCTTCTAAGGTAAACAAACACATTTTCTTCAGCCTCTAATCATGGCCCAAACAAACTATTAATAATCTTTCATTTGTCTCTGGCCTTTCCCCAAGTTCTCCATGTTCCTTGAGTTTGGCATAAACCCAACATTTAAAGTATTGTTCACTGAAACACCCCCCATGTGTACACACACACACACACACACACACACACACACACACACTTCTCATTTTGACTTCAGTAAAATAAAACCATCTCCCATTCCATTTTGAGTCAGCATAGAAACTGTCTGCACCATTTTCATATTCACAAAAAGCCAAAATTTTAAAAAGGGGAACAAGCAACTGAACACCTGCACCACACATTTTCTAGGTGCAAGCGTTGAGACCTTGGCACTGTAGACCTCGAAGTGAGAAGAGGTAACAGCTCTGTAGGCAAAGCAGGTCAAGTACCAAGAGCTAGCAGATGTTCATTCTAATCTCTGTAGTTTAGAGCTTAAGCTGTGGGTGTGTTCTGCTCAGTGAATTGTCATTACCAGTCCTGATGACTAGGTGAGGACAGAAACCACTAATTTTATCTCTCTTGAATTTAATTAAAAATTTTGCTCTTGGAGACCAGGAAATCAAATGGCAAGGGACTAGAGTATATCTTTGTTTTTAAACATTTTCTAGTTACTCATCTTTATTTATTTTTGCATAAAGATACTAGTCTGTGACAGACTGAATAATGAAATGGAAAGTAACAACTGGCTGGTCCTTCATTGCAGACAGTTTGAGAAGCACTTGTCTAGAGCCTATGAGTGATTCATTTAGAATTGGTGAGGAAGTGGTCCTGGGCAGAGTTGTTAGATTTCTTGGCTATTTATTTTGCACCTAGTAAAGATGTAAGTGTAGTAAAGTTCCAGAATAAGTCACCACCTATGACTTTGGAAATTCATTTTGTTTGCAGTTTCCAGTAGTCTTATCATACTGCGTCAGCCCACACCCTGCAGATTCCATTCATCATTTTAAGACAAATGTTTACAGCCCAGATGTGCTGCCACAGAGTTATATATAAAAATGCTTAAGAACCAGAGAAAGTGTACCTCTCTGAGCAGACTATTTGGCAAGTGACAAAGGAAAAAGCAGAGTCGGCTCCATCTTGTGCTAACCTCAATATATGCAGGCTGTGCTGTACTCTGCACTTACAAAAGGTATAGGTAGTTCCCATGCCTGTTGTTTCTTGCTATATGCAGGAACAGCAATGGATACAAGAATCCATAGTCTCAGCCTCCTCCTTCCTGGGAGAGTGGACTGACTTACCACATACGTGAATGTGGGAGATGAATCAGTCCTTCTGATAGAGGATGGTGCTCTCCAACAGACTTCACATGAGTAGCGTTCTGTGGTTGACTGGTTATGGATCCTGATTCTGGGGTCCTGTAACTAGGAAGGCAACTGTTTTCACGTATCCTAAGTTGTTTTTTCCAGCATCAGTGTCATTAGTAATTGAGCTCACATTTTAATCTTCATCTTTTGACATCTTAAGTGTCTCACTTTATAACTTCAGCAGGGATCAGGGATATTGTTTTCTAGGATTCTCCTAAACCTAATCAGATGATGGTGATTCCACGTAGTGGTCTTCTCTAGTGGGGGTAGTTTAGTCTTACTATCTGCTTTATTTCCTTATAGTAGATAGAAAATCTTGAAATACTCGATGACTCCCTTATACCTGATAACTAATCTGTTCTCTTCTGCAAAGCAGGAGTCCTCTTTCACACTGGGAAATGAGGATGACCTAGCTTGGCCAATAAATACTTTCTCCCATACTTCTTTGAGCATATTTCTCCTAAAGCTGTGTTCCATCTTTCCAGGTTTATGACAGATCAATAAACTCATGTATGTGACACATCATGATGGAAAACAAACATAAAAGTCCAACGGCTCTGGAAGTAGAGGAAAAATCAGATAAAGATGAGCTTTGGCTCTTCTAGGTATCAAGAACAAAATGTCCTACTAGGCATGTCTGTGGTAGATCCATAATTCAGATAAGCAGAAAAAAAGTTCATGGTCTCTGTAGCTTTCCTATTTCCACAGCTCAGCAATGACTTTCTTACGCTCTTCTTCTAAGCTCATAGAGGGGGCACTGAAACTTGTTGTCGATTCTCTGGGACTTAGTTACAGGCCACTACTGCTACAGTCTTCCCTGACCTTCCCTTTTTCTTCAGGTTGTTGGGACAGTATTTGGCTAACCTGTCTGTGAATATTAATTACTCTCTAGAAGGCAGCATGCTGCCTGCTTCTGCTTGCAGCTTATCCAACAGTGACCGACTGTCTCTGCCTGAACTCCAGAGGGATGGCTGCTACTGGCTGTGTGACCGCACATTATAGATGAAGTCCTTAAGATTTAATACTTTCCTTAGACGTAGTAAAATCTGATTTGTTGGTATTTTTTACTTTTATTATTTGTTATTCAACTTTCCAGACCCAAACAACTTTTAATTAAAAAAAAACAAACCCAAAACATGTATTAATATATAAAGTACGGTCTCTAGTCTGTCTGTTTTGAAAGTTACTGACCTGATAACAAATTATGAATAGATTCCCCAAAGTAGGATAAACCAAGAGTAAAATAATACTTTTTTTAAAATTTAGTACAGGATCTACAGGGTTTCACTACATAGATCAGACTTTTAGTGATTCTCCTGTTCTCAGCCTCCCAAGTGCTGGGATTACAGGCATGTGCCACCATGCCCTGTCTCAATCACTGGCTCAGTGTGCCCCGAGGGTAAGGCTGCTACGCTCTGCCTAAGCAGGCGTCTTTAGTCCGCTGAGCTATTGGGTAAACCAAGAGTACTTTATACTCACGTGTAAACATAATTATAGTATATAACTGCACGTTTACAATCCATACAAATGTGTCCAAAGGAGGGAAACAAAGATTTAAAAAACTGATAGGAAAAAAGAAAATGTTCGACCACGTCTTATTAAGGATTCAGTAACTCAATAATCTTGGGACCTAGAAAGTGAGGGAGCTTAAGCCAAATGTTTTTGATGTTACAGTTCCTTCTGTACTAGGTCAAGCAGCTGGCAATGGAACTGGAGTAGAGGTAAGTCCTGCGAGTGTTAAGCAGCCTGTCACAGAGTAGACGAAGTTTATTCCTGAGCACGGCCTTGTGCAAGTGATCAGTGTTGTGTGTATTTAGAGAAAACACCCTATTAAAAAAGTGTATGTATGTGTGTGTGTGTATGTGTTGGGCAGGATTGCACCCAGTATTTTGCACATGCTGGGCATATGCACTACCATTCAGATAGCACTCCTAGCCCTTTTTTTTTTTTTTTTTTTTTTTTTTTATGGTACTGGTGATTGAACCCAGAGCCTTGTGCATGGAAGGCAAGAGATCTACTACTCAGGCACATACCCAGCCCTTAAAATTTTTTAGTGACAGTTTTGCTAAGTAGCTCTAGCTAGCTTTCAAATTGTGTTCCTTCTGCCTCAGCCTGTCAAATCAATTGGATAATAAACCTAGGTCATCATGGCTTAAAATATCTTTAGAAAGCCAAAGCTATGGGTTGGGGGTATAACTCAGTAGAACACCTGCCTAGTAAGCATGAGGCCCTGGGTTTGATCCCAAATGAGGTAAGGGGGACTTAAAGCTGTATCCCATAAATGGGTACAAGTATGTGTGTCAGCTAAATCACTGTACATCAGATCTTTGAGGAATGAGAAAAACTGATGAGGAAAATGCCCACCTTCTCACCCACAGAATGAGC